AACCCTTCTTTCGCACAGACGAAGGATCTCTGTATGATAGCGCCGTCTTTTCTGGAGCGGCGTGAGGAGCTGACCCGGGTGCTGAACCCGACTCTTCTCGCGTACGAGTTGTAGAAGGCTTTTGCGGACTCCTCAGACTCGAACTCCATACCCTCGTAGGGCTCGAGATCAATGTCGCCGTCGGGGAGGTAGGTGTGTAGGGAGAAGGACGAAGTGGCATCGCCGCCGCTGCCGCTGCCGATGGAATTGGCGTCGTTGGGAGAAGCGCCGCCCATTTCTTCGCCGTCGTCGTTCGGGGTTTCGATGTCGATGCCGTCATCTCCGCCGCTTAAACCAATATCGAATTCAATTACCCCATTTTCCATTTGCTGAACCGGATTGGGAAATTTTGAACAGCCAGAGATTGCGCAACAGCTGTTCACTAATTCGAATTTGAAGAACAGAGACGAATTCGAGGAGAAATCAAAAAAAAAAAAATGGAAACAAAAAAAACCCCAGATTTTCAATCCATACAATCTACGAAGGGTTTGGTAATCGAATTATTCAAAACTGAAGCACAATGCAGCGCCGAAAAGATACACGACGAAAAAAAAGAGGTATTGATTTGCATGAATTGGGGGAAGAGAACAAAAAAAGATGCTGAATTGCTTACCGGAATATACTGATTGTACTTTATTGCAGAAGAAAAGTGATGATGATTGATTGCTGTAATTTTGTTTTTGAGTGTACAGAGAAACTCAGAAAGGTACTAACGACTGAGAATGGAAACGGTGGGTGTGATGCAGATAATCAGAGCCCTAATTTCAACACAGCCAAACTTTATATACGTAAGGGACCAATTTGAAATTTTTATTTTTGTTGAGGGTCTTTGTGCGAAGGTATTATTATTTAGGGAATTCATATTTCTACCCCTCAAAGAACAATTATTTTCAATAATAAACTTTAGAGTGACCAAATTATTTCTAGCCCTAATTTCGGTTTGATTTTCCTTTTCTTCTCGTTTATTCCGTTGTACTGTAACCTTCCTATAATTTTAGAGTTGGTTGATAAAAGTATTCGAGGTGAAATTTGATTGGAGAAGAAGACTGGACAATGCCGCCTCTGCCGACCACACGCGGTGATGCCATGCCACGATCTTCCACGCACCGACAATTGTTTACCGATTTTGGTTTACTAGACTATTGAAAAATTGGAAACAATTCTTAGATGAACAATTTATTTACTACTGGTGAATAAACATCTTTTAGACTATAAATGTGAGTGTTGAAAAATATTTAAAAAGATTTGACAATTTTGGGGATTTTTAGCAAAAAAACGTGTGCTATAGTATACATTTTTTTTATTTGGCTTGACTATTCAAAAAGTAGTGAAATAGTTTTCAAATGAACTATTTCTTGATTAATTATGGATAACATATTTTATACTATATATTTTAGTGTTAAAAAATATTTGACAATTTCAGAGATTTTAGCAAAAATTGTGTTCTATAGTATAGATTTTTTTGTGATTTTGCTTGATTTTTAAAAAAATAATAAAACAACTTTTAAATGAACTATTTCTTAACTACTTATTGATAAAGATCTTCTATACTAAATATTTTTTAGTGTTTAAAATTATTTAAAAAAATATTGGAATATGTTAGCCGAAAAACAAAAAAAAAAAAAAAAAAAAAAAAAAGTGTGCGAAATACAAGAGTAGGGGTGAAGTGCAAAATAGGAACACCATGTGGGGTTAAGTGCTATTTAACCTAAAATAAATTATATTAGACTATCATCTCAAAACCAGAACTTTTATAAATAACTGGCTATCATCTCAAACATTGCAATTTATAAATTTCTAAATTGGCTATTTTTCTAAAGAGGTAAAAGCAGCTTCATCCATCAAGATCACATAAAAAATCATGGTCTAGCAGAAATTTCATCCAACGCCTAGCAGTAACAGCCGATCATGCTCCCAACTGCCAAAACGAAAATAATCGAGCGTCCACAACTGAAATAAAAAAGTTTCATTACAACCTCAATTTCTTATCTCACCTGTGGATAAACCTTCCTCGACACACAATTTATCTGCAGCTTCAAAAACAAAAAATCGACTATCTCCACTCACGACAATTGCCACACCTCCAGCCATTCTCGCAAGACGAGGATTCAAGCCAGGGCGAACAATGGCTATGTATCCACACACCACACATCTGGCAAGAAAGATCTGGACATGGTTCGGTATGAGAACAGATATTACAAGACGAAATCTCAATCGGTGTTTCTACAGATATAATGGGTTCTTCTTGATCGTAAGATATTTCGAGATTTCCATTATCCGGAAGCACGGATAAATCCTCCCAATTTTCCATAGCGTCGAACAGTGGTCCATTGCCATTTGCAGGTTCACCGTCATCAGAAAGCAACTCGTTGAAAGAGAAATATGTCTGAGGTTCAAACTCCATATTGTCATAACCAAGACAATCGTCATAGTCGAGTGTTATAACGTCGTCAAAGTTCCCTTTAGAGACATCCCATTGGGCCTGATTAGGTAATAATGGATCCTCTTGCACGGCATTTGCCTCTGAAGGGTTGGGTACTTCGACTTCAAAGGTGGAATTGATCGGCGAGTGAAAATCTGAGTTGTTTTCCCGCTTTATGTGTCTCCTTATAACCAATTTCTCTGTTGGGTGCGAGACGTTTGTTTCACAAGGAGCAGAGATACCGACCTGAAAGGAAGAATCCATTTCTTGCTTGATATGTCTTCTCACCGGCAGCTTTCGAGGACCGGAACAAGATACATTTGAACTATTCAATTCATATTCTACTTTCAATGTCGCGTCGGTGAATTGCTTAACTTCAGAAAGAGAAGTACACAGAGGATCTTCTTCTTGTACATGAATAAATTCTACCTTTGTGGGTGATGCAGCTGGCTTCTTCACTTCCATGAGATGTTCAGATATCAAACGAGAATTGGAGTTCATTTCATTAAAATCCAGGTTTGGAGCATTGCTCTCTATTTTGCCCTTCGATATCTTCTTATTCTTTTTATCCTTCTTATCCGAGTAAGGACACTTGGGATTTTTTATTCTGCGGCACTTGCAGCATTTGTATCCCACCACACATAAAATTTTCGACTCGTCAAATTCTAAGGCTTCCGCGTGATACCAACCTGTAATAAGCGCGCACACACACAAAAAAAATTAATCAATCACTTTTGCCGAGCTATGGAGGAAGAGAGCGATTTGAGGTTTATTGTTATGGAAGAGCTTACTCGAACATGTCTCACAGCGAACGTACATGAGGTCAGACTTGTATGGCTTACTACAAAGACGGCAAACAGGTCCTGTCAGGTTCATATCCGGATTACCCCTCGGAATAATGTTTTTCAACCTAAAATCAATGCCAACGTC